TGGGATAACAGTCACTGATGCAAAATCAGCAGCATGTTTTGCGCAACGAATTGCACTCTCCATATTGTCATGTTGACATCCTGCTTGTCAGAAGTGACTTATTACGGCAATCCTCAGGAACATCGTATAAAGCCGGGCAGCTAAAATAGTCAAATAATAAAAGTTTGAATTAAGTTTGGAAAAAGTAAGAAAAAATTTATCGTATAAATAGGAAAAGGATAAAGAAAATAGGGAAATCTTTTAAAAAAAACTGGGAAGATATGTTTCGATCCGTGAAGTCTTAATAGTGCCACAACTAGTCCTTGTGGGCACGACAATTATAGTGCGATATGAACTTATTAAGAAAGTATTTAAATTTTATTTGTGAAAGTTGAGATTTTCGTGGCAAGTAAACGAAAGTAAAGGAAACAAAGCCAATTGCGTTACCAGTCTGCTAAATTGGAAAATCGCGCTTCTATCAATGCACACGAGTGACTCACATTTTATGACTGATTTATCATTTTATTAGAGGGTTTACACAAAAAATAAGAGCTCGAAAGAAGTGTTGTCTTGATTTTTAATAACTGTAAACCGTGCAAATGGTTGCGCCCACGGTATGCAATTTTAGCGCGATTTTTTCGCGGAAGGTGAGAACGGTTGCAAAGTGATGGATGGCGGCGTATTGTTTGTAAACAAAAGTGACGGACGACCGACTGGCGATGCATTTGTTATGTTCGAAGACGAGGAGACCGGTCAGAAGGCGCTCACAAAGCACAAGCATATCATTGGTACTCGGTACATCGAGCTTTTCAGGTTTCTGCACCTCTCTTATCGTATCCTCGGTTCAAAAAAAACTGGCCATTACAAAAAAGTGGAAAAATTAATATGTTTCCGAATAAAATAGTTTTGCAAGTCCTTGTTGAGGGAAAGTTTGATCATGTGTTGAATAATGTATTCGAATGCCATAGTTTTTCATTTCTAAAACTTGCTAACAAAAATGATCATTGTGAACAATTTAAAAAAACAATTAAAATAACCAAAATTCAATAAATTTTTGAACTAACTTGTTTGACACAATGTCCTATAAGTTCGTGACTTAACGATTAGTCTGGCACTCATTTCGAAAGGAGTTTAACTTGGCGTGGCATTTAAGCTGGCGTTTGGCGGGAGAACAGTTCGGATAGATACCGTTTGGTGCTTTAGTGGTCCTGGGCACTTTCCTCAATTTTATGATCGAAAGGCGTTTTGTAAAAGCGACATTTTCTCAT